GCTTACAATAACTTTGTCAAAATTAATTTTAAACAAATTAGAAAAAGTATCGATTGTTTCAAAGTTCTCTTGATTTAACATCAATTGTTGAAGCATATCATTTGCGCGTTTAGCATCGATAGGATTTTTTTCACAAGTTTGACAAATCAAAGAAAGCAACCATGTTAAGACTTGTGGAAAAATATTTTCAAAAACATCTTTGAAATTGTATCCAACAGAAGTACAAAGTTGTTTTGCATTCATGACATTGAAATTTTGTATTTCAGTGAACACTATAATATTAATGTGTATCTTATAAAATTCTTCTTGAGATTCATATTGAGTCAATTCCCATGGAAACGTTTGCATGGTATGATACGCCTTCAACCAATGCGATAACATATGAGCCAGATTATCTTCATTGGATAACACATGATGTTGTTTCGTTTGCTTTCTTATACTATTTAATAACTTTTTGACCGTTTTTACTTTTACACGTTCATTCTCCACTAATTGTAATATTGCTACTAAAGCACTGCTTTGAAGTGTACTAGAAGTACAAATAATAGTTGCTAATATTAACAATGCACTTGCCGTTCTAGTTTCTATTTCATCCGTTTCGTTATTATAACTTTTTTTCTCAATGGATAGTAAATTAATGGCAGCATTTTTCAATTTCTCAAAAAAGGAAACCTTCCTTTCATATTCTATACATTTTGAAAAATATAATTTTTGCATACATTTAACTGCCTTCAATCGTAATATATAAAGAGAATTTTGCATATATGTTAATAAATTTTCAATAATAAGCCATAACTTGTACCGATACTGAGCATACTGTTTATGCCTCATTAATAATGGTTTGATTTCAATAATTCTTGCAAGACATTCCAAGAAATCAATGTGTACGATTGGTCCAAACTTCTTATTATTAAGAAGCTTACAAAAATTATAAATGTTATCCATTATTACAATTAGATCATAATCATAGTTGGCAGTATATTCGATAAAATAAGGTAGAACTTTGAGTACATATCGTACATACTTTTCATCTTCCTTACATTTTTGAAATAAATCCAATAGAAATGAAACTGGAGCATCTTTATACTTTTCATGTAGTATCTTTTTGTCGCATTGTGTGAACGTTTCCAGCACTATCATTGCCATTTTAAAGTCTACTGCAAATGACAAATCATAATTATCAATGGTCATCAGATTGCTCATTAAGTCCAATTGAATTTTTGATCTTTCTTTTCCTGTATTCATGCAACAAAATAATGTCAAAGTTCTTATAGTTTTTATTCTGATAATATTCAGACTATGTATATCATTGTTCTTGTAATTTATTTGATCTTCATTGGATTGTTTATTTTTACTTTGAAATATATCAAAATTATCGTTGTAACGTCGAATTTCGTGATAAGGGAAATTATTGTCATCTTCAATATTAAGTAAGTCAAATAAATTTCGTAATATATCTGCAGTCGACAAAGAAATAATGATCTTTGTCATGTCTGTATATGCGGGACGAAACGTTTCGTATAAAATGATAAACGCTTTAGTTATATCGATGAAATATTTATGATTATTTTTGGACAATTTAATCGTCTCTAATAATTTATAAGCATGGTGCAAACAATCGTTTATTGCAGACATAATAAAGTGAATTTCAGTATCTTCCATCAGTATATTCATTTTTTTCACGGTGGTCGCAACTTTACCTGCAAGTGTAATTTTCATTACTATCGTTCGTATATCATTGTTTTCATTCTTTTTATCGATAATATCATACAAATACTTCTTCAAAATTATAAGAACATCTTTCAAATCTATCGTATTTACGTTTGCCTTAGCAAGCGACACTTGTAAATGTTGTTGCGAAACAACAGTCTCTGTTTTGACCTTTGTGAGTAAATTAATTTGAAATGTTAATGCTAAATTACACGTTTCTATATTTTTATAAGATAAGGATTGTGGATAATCGTATAGAAATTCCTGTAAATAAGAATTTTCACGAGCGGGTAAAGTTAATCCTGATGTTTTAAACGTTGTATTATTTTCATGAAAGAATTTCACTGGAATGCCAATCAATATATTACACAAACTTTCAATGAATATTGTCGAAGGAACTTTAAACCATGGCGTGTTTAATAACCACTCGATGAAACGTAATTTAACAGAGCGTGTATTTAACATTGACGATTGTAAATTTGTATTAAACATTGATACATCATCCGGTAAAGGTGTGTGTTCGCAACATAATATTAATGTTTGCAAACTATTGGGAGACCATCTGATTGTTTGAGACATATATAAAGCAAAAAGTGAATTTGTATTTCTCATCTTTCCATATTTTATAAAACACTGAGCAAGTCTATGCGCAGAGATCTCACTTTGATTAGTATTAAGAGATCTGTAAAATAAATAATAAAAAGATAAATATTAAATGTCTGATAAAGTCAAAAATGAGAGCAAGCTATTACTCTACATTCAATTTTACAAATGGTTCATTCAATATAATAAAATAAAATTAAATATACCTTAAAAGATTATCCCATATGTTATACCAATGCACATTCGAAGCATGTTGTACCTTTTCAGAATTTGTATCATTCAAAAATAATTGTTCTATTTCCATAAGGACAGTACATAAGTTATATAAACTGTCTATAACTTTAACATATTTAGACGATTGCGTTAAGTAAGTATCCAATATTTTTAAAAGAGATATAAAATCATCCGATTGTAATCTTTTAGGATATTTTGCGAAGAGTACTGTTAATATTTGAATCATAGGCCATGCTTCCTCCAGATCATCATGATCTATCATATCAACTGGACTACTAATGGAAATGCATCTTCGTTTGACTGGTTGGGAATAAAGTTCAGTAGAATTGTACAGTCCCCAAATGGTACCAGGATTTTGAAGCACTTGATTGAATACTTTAGAAAAATTATACAAATTGATTATTCATCATTAAGTAATATAACATATACAATTTTATTATAAATAAATGAAGAAATACCTTCGCTTGCAAACTCCAGAAAATGTTTGGATAATATTCCTTTCTTAGAATCTTTCAGAATAATTTCATACATGCTTCGAAGTATACTATTCCATGTAGACCAATTACAAGCAAACGCTCCATCATTTTCTCGATGAACTCCTTTAGGATGATGAATTTGTACAAATAGCAGCATGAACTTGTATTTTTCATCATAGCCATTTAAATTGAATATTTTTGGCAAAATATCTTCACTAAATTGACAAAGCATTATTCTATTTTCAGTTGCGATTTGATGACATATTGTATTAGTCAGTTTGTAAGCAGACTCTTCCATCTGCTCGAGAATTTTACAATCTGACAAAATATTTGCTGTAATAACAAATGATATAAATACAACGGAGATAAAAATCTTTTTAATCTAAGAGTTATTAATCATATAAGGTATTACCTAAAAATGGTAATAATTTTTTAACTTCTAATAATAAATCCGAATACATATATGCATGTTGTATTATCATTTGAATAGTATCTATTACAATACACTTGTTGATAGACGCATCGTTGTACAAATTGACACATGCTCTTAATAATTCCTCCCATTGCTCTGAAGATATATTTATTTGGTATAACCGGACTGGAATTATGTAAGTAGTTAATATGGTCAGATAAGTATTGCAATAAGATAAATATTTTCTATTCTGCAATATCTCAAGCACCCGTTGTATTAAACCATTGCATTTTAACGTCAATGTTCTGGATTCATGAGAATAACGTATCGTATTTAACAAAACGGCACAAGTGGTTCGTCTTTCGTTATTAGATTTATTCACATCTTTCGTAGCAAGTCTGTCAGCTTCCTGATAAGAAAAAAAGGAAAAAAAAAAGAAAAAAAAGGTCCAAAACACAGTATCATACAGATAGATTTAATTAAAATAATTATTAAGCAAATGTAGTACCTACGCATAAAATTAATTTATGCACGATAATAAAAATGTTCCACCAACCGACAGTTGCATTGTTGTTGTCTTCAGAATGTTTACTTATTTCATTAATTATTTCTTTACTCTCGTAAAGTTCCGACAATAGTAAAATACATTTCTAAATATAAAGAAAAATCATGTATATCTTTGTTGTATATGTTTTTAAAAGATATAATAATCAGATTGCTTTACCTTTTTATCCGTTACTTTCGTACTATCGGCAAGCTGAGCAATTGCGATTACTTTTTCCAAAAGACGCGACATTTTCATTACGCGTTAATAATCACATTTGAGAAACTATTTTGACAAAGAGAATAATCACATTGAGTAACTTAATGTTATTACAACGCAGGCATTTGTAATCGCGCCCTTACTTAGATCTGACATTAGCTACTTCTCAATCGATTACAATCGAGAAATTTAATTAATTATAATATTAATATTTCAAATTAGATATGACAAAAATATATCGGAATAATTCAAAATAGTGCAATATTTCTGCATAATTATGTCTCTCTAACTTTAGATATGTTGAGCTAGAAAAAATAGGAGACTACATCTTTCCAAGAAGAAAATTTTTTATTATTCCCATCTATATTTAATATTTTCTTATTCGAATAATCCTTTTAATGTGTATATATATATATATATTTTTTTTTTTTTGCATAATAATTAAGAGAGAGACGTAAAGTAATCTAAATTTGAAAATGATTGAAAAATCTAATTCGCGTACGTGATTGGTCGAACCAAGTTACAAGAAGGAAGTTTCTAGTATTGCCATTGGTTGTTAGAAACGACCGCTCACTCATTGGCCAATAGGAAGAATGTATAGGAAGAATGTATATTGTATGTATATTGTTTGCATTCACATCGTAATTAAAGTATCTCTTTTAAAGATTAATCAAATATTTACACGTATGAATATTAACTAATCATATGCTTTTCTAAGGGACATTAGTTCCAGCACCGGAAGCAGAGGGCGCTACAAATGTCCAATGTAAGGCGTCGCCATAGGATAAGTTTTAGTATAGTCTGAGACACGAGAGAACGATGAGTTTCTAAAGAACCTACAAACTCTTTCTATTTCCTCTCCTTGTTGTCTTTAGAAAATGATCGCATCTGTATGTTTTCTTTTTTATATTGGCAGCATTGGAAGAAACAAACGATGCTTGTGGCAACAACGTATACACTTATTCAAGTATCACGCGTTCCTTGCAATTTTGAGAATGACCTTATTAATATTTTTTCATGCAAATTAAAATCTGTGGTTAGTTCTGTGAATTATTATTCGATATTATTCGTAGTGCTTTTACGTTAGTTTTATTTGCATGTGCAACACGGTTAAATACAAGTGAAAATTCAACAACTGCAGCGATTTACGGGGTGTGAATTTGTGCATCATTGGATTGACATTAAGCTGTTTTAAAGAAAAACATTCGAATGAAATATTTTAATTGCTAGAGTATAATATCTGCAATATACTTTTTTAAATGCTTATTTATCCGTTTGCCTTAGTCGAAAATATGGACGAATTATGAAGCAGACGAAGTGATAGATTCCTGTAAGTGATGTTCTCAAAATGACAACTGTTGGTAATAAATCGGGAGATATAATTTTTTAATTGTCCAGTGAGTATAACACTTTTTTCTAGTTATTCTTCTTTAGGGATATATAACGATCAAAATAATCAGAATTCTTTTTTCTTTTTATCAGAAAAATTTATTTCAATTAACATTAATTTGCTTTATTTCAAATGTTCAATTAGAAAATTATTGTTCAAATACACGTCACCAGTTATAGTCGAGTTTCTTCGGTTATACATAAAATAAGCGTATTCTATGGAAAAAGTATTTCTCCAAGACGTAAACTTTACTTCATAATAATGATAATATTTATAAAGTTTAACAATTTTTTAATATTCATTTTATAATGGACAACATTTGAATAGCTCATAATATTGTTATATTATTTTTAATTATCGTATATATTCGTATTTAATATCATATTCCATATGGCAATTACGAACTTGCATTTAGACTTACATATAGGTTATCCGTTAAGCATTAGATCCTATTTAGGATCTTATTTATAGGACGTTGAGTGTCGCCAATACTAAGTAAGGACATCAAGTAATTTCACGTTTGTTAGAATATTTATCATAATTTATTCCATAACAAATGTTATGCGTAAGAAAAAGGGACAAATTATCGTTGATCCTTTAAAAAATATTTCACAATGTAATTCTCTAGAGAACAAGTTACTCCTTTTAGGAGGAGTTTTTTTTTTACTCGTGAATTTTCTCTTGAAGGTATTATTTTTATTACAGATAAATAAACATTTATGGGATCAATATGGCACGTAAACGGAAACACGAAGTTAAAACATCCGTAAAATCATCACCTAAGTATACGCCCATTAGAAAGTCTAGCAGACAGATAGCTAAAAAGCAATTAGAAGAGAGGAAGATAAATGGAAAGATCTTGAAGACATCATCCACTTCAAATGCCGAAGAATCAAGAAGCGTGGAAGAAATTGAGAATCAAATGGATTCAAAGAAGAATCAAAATGTACATAGAAAATATAATAGTCATAAAAACTTGTCCAATAGCGATGATATATTAACCGATAATGTATGTAGTATATACAAAAGAGATGACGAAGAGAGCGATAGTCAAGATGGATTGGATAATCTGTTGGATCAATCGGAGAAACTTAGTCCAGAGGATGTGCGTCAGATGGTTGTTGGTAATACAACAGAAAATAATGAAACTAAACTTGAGTCTACATCGAACGAAGTAGAAGTGTGGCCAGAAGAGGTAATAGAAGAAATAATTTGTGAGGAGATGGAAGTAGAAAGTGATGCTACAGTAACTAGTTATAATGCTCTAGAACAAGATAGTGGCATGGTGGTTGAGCAAGTGCTATTGATGAATAAGGCTAATTTAGAGGGAGATAATTTTGTAGAATATACCGTTGTAAAAAATGAAGATGGCACGCAGTCGATGGTAGTAGAGTCCAAAGTGGAAGGTACAGCTGGTAGCGAGTATCAAATCATTCAGAATGGTATGAATAATTTACGTATGACCGTTGATGAAAAATCCACGCCAAGTGTTTTATCTTATAAAATGTCAGGTTCAAAGCATCAACATAATAAAGTAGCGTACGATATAGATAATAATTCTACTAATAAAAAGGTAATTTCGTTAGATTGTGCAAATAGTACTTATAAAAATGATAAAACGGTCGAGGATATTAGAACGGAATCGTTTAAACATCGGTGCATAAGTAAAGATCAGGTTCGTCGTCAAAAAGAAGAATCTAATTTTTTGAGCAATGATGCCAAAAAAGGAAGCAATAATTATGTGTCTAACCTATCCAAGGAAGAATATGAGGATCAACAACATTTAAGAGAACGTCAGAAAGAGATCGTGAAGGGGGATAATTGTTTTAAATCGGAAAAGTCGAATGTTGTGCAACAGAATCAGTGTTCTAAAGAAATAGAAAAGTTAGTTAACGATTTGTGCAGTGTAGAAAGTGTTAATTCGCCTGTAGAAACATGTATAAATGTACAAAAAATATCATTGGTTAATGAAGATGACGAAAGTAGTTCATCGATATTAGATAAAATGGAACAATTGCATCGTTCAGCTAATTGTGAGTCTAATACTGATACGGTATATGTTTATCAGAAGTCAGTGGAATGTGTTTTGAAAAATCAACAACGAAGTGCCCTAAAGTCAGACAATTTTGCAGAAAGTGTTGTAGCATGTGCAAGTGAACTACCATTAAATTGTAGAAATTTACAGAAAAAGAAAACTCCAAATCAAAAGCCTCCTGATCATTTGCAAAATATTGAAGATGTATGTGCAGACAGTGAAGCAGATAGCAAAGTAGATAGCGAAGATATGAAATTAACTAGTAGCGGTGACAGTAGTAATGATACATTGTTATCAATAAATAATTATAAAATACCAGATATTGATACGAAAGGTGCTCAAAATAATATGAATGATCTTGACAAAAAGGTCGAGTTTCGAAGCCGTAGCGGTAGCACGGATACCACGGGTTCAGAAAGTGGATCGAATAGTTCTGGCGTGCGAAGAAGCAATAGAATTCGCACTATAGGTTTAATGAAACAAAGGTAAACATGTTGTGTTATTCTTTTTCAAATCTTAGCTGATTAAGATTCGTTTGATTTTTTTGCTTTTATCTGTTAATAAAACATATAATTGTCCAATTGTTTTTCTAGATCTCGAGGGCGTGGCTTGGTGACTAAATCAAGTACAGAAATTTTGAAAGCTAATTCAACACAGGAGAAAGATAAAATAACTGCCCATATGACTACTGCTACTTTAGAATCGAAGATTAATATGGATGGGCAATCTGAAATACAATGTGACAAGGAAAATAATGCTAACAAAATGCAAACCACGCACGATCCTCTTGCTCCTCTTGTAGCAACTTTCAATACTTCTGGTTACAATTCAGATTCATTGAAACCAGTTAAAGTAAAATCGAGATGGCGAAGATCTAGTGAACTTGAAATGGGAGGATCTAGTTCGTCCATTTCCGGAACGGGATTTGAATTATCAAATGCTGTTACATCTGAATTAATAACACACGTGACAACTAAGTCGAATAGTGCTCTTCCAGGAGAATCTGGCTCTTTCGAACGTGGATCCATAGCTGTATGTGCATCCATGAATGTACATTCTTATCCAGAAATTAAACAGGATAAAGAGGAGAATGTAGAAAATAATTCTTCTGTTAATTCGTTGACAACACAGGTTCCTAAAATTATAGGAATAAAGACAAGTCCGATAATAACAGCTGATATTAAGAATAAAGAAATGGAAGAAAGATTAAGTCAATTTGAATATTTACGTGAAAATTTATATCTTACCGAAAGGTAGGTTTCGTTCTTTCATAACGTTTTTCATATGTTTTTATAGGAGAAAACAATTGTATTATTCCTTTTTTTATATTAGATATACCAATAAGGAGACCAAAAGAATGGTATGCGATTGTTTTCTGACAGAAGAGGAAATAGAAAGAGGTGAACTTGGTTGCGGTGAGGATTGTCTCAATAGACTTCTCATGATAGAATGGTATATAAATTTATAAATTTGTAAATTAAATATTGTCAAGAGTATAATTAAGTTAATTGTTAAATTTTTATGTGTATTACAGCGGGTCTAGATGCGTAGTCGGTGATAGATGCACTAACAAAAGATTTCAAAACTGTGAATATGCAAAGTGCGAAGTCTTTAAAACAGAAAAAAAAGGATTCGGATTACGTGCAGTGGCTGATTTAGATGTGTTAGTGTTTATCAATATAATTTAAAATTTTATGTTTTGCTAATATATCTTACAAAGTTTATATTGTTATAATTTTACTTTTTCCTTTCCCCCCCCCCCCCCCCGCACCACCCTTTTTTTTCCCCCTTTCTTTTTCTTTTTTTGCTTTTGTTTTATAGAGGAGAATTTATAATGGAATACGTAGGAGAAGTGGTGGACCCGAAAGATTTTCGCCGTAGAGCTAAAGAATATTCCAAAGATAAGAACAGACATTATTATTTCATGGCTTTAAAATCTGATCAAATAATAGATGCTACTATGAAAGGAAATGTTTCACGTTTCATAAATCATAGCTGTGATCCAAATGCCGAAACACAAAAGGTAAATTTTATAATACTTGTCAAGGAAAATCTTTAGAGTATATTTCCTTATCGTTTACAATATAACGTTGCAGTGGACCGTAAATGGTGAATTGAGAATAGGATTCTTTATAAAGAAGTTCATAGCCGCTGGAGAAGAAATTACATTTAATTATCATTTTCAACGATATGGGTACGTAATTAATAGATATAGAATTAATAACAATGCGACCATATTTAATAAGCAATATTGTGAAATATTCAGAAAGGAAGCGCAAAAGTGTTTCTGCGAAGCTCCTAATTGCTGTGGTTGGATCGGTGATACGCCTGAAGAAGAAATAGAAAAAATCGAGAAAAAGGAGAAACGTGAGAAAGATGCTAGAAAGAAGAAGGAGGAGAAGAAATCAATGGATTATATGGAGGATGAAGACGTATGTTATTATTTTTATTATCAATTCAATAAAATATGATATCGTTCTCTTACTTTTCTTTGCAGTTGGAAGAAGAAATAGACAAGTTATGTTCGGGTGGTTTGAAAAATCGTGCTCATACTTTAACTTTGAGTCGTTTGATGGTTCGAAGTAGAGAATTGAAACATAGAACATGCCTGTTGCGTTTAATACAAAGCGGGGAACAACCGTGTAGAAGATTGTTCTTAGATTATCATGGTCTTCGTTTAATATGGAGCTATGTTATGGATATTGCTAAGGACGAATCCGAAGAGGCGCAACAATTTCGTCTGGAAATTCTAAAGACTTTAAATACACTGCCAATACCTAACAAAACAATGTTAATGGATAGTAAGATTTATGGTGTAGTAGAAAAATGGTCAAATCGATTATATTTATCACCAAATGGGGAGTCACCGGAAGATGATCAAGTCAAAGTAAAGAGATCATCCGACGAAGGTAACGGTTGTTATAACGACGGTGGTACGAAGAAAATTTTGGACAATTTGAGCAACATTCCATGTTTAACCGAAACTAAAGTCGAACATTCAGGAATAAATGAAATCAAATCTGAAAATACAGATCAAGCTCTTATTCCTGAATTAGCATCGACGTTATTGTCCGAATGGTCTAATCTAAAAGAGGTCTTCAGAATACCCAAAAAGGAAAGAATCGAACAGATGAAGGAACATGAAAGAGAAGCAGGTCATTTTTGTTCTTTTTTTTTTTTCTCTCTTACAAGTATAACTCGAGAAACATCATGAATGAGAATACATCATGTATTTTATTTATTATTTAATTTATCTTATACTTTTAGATCGCGGGTATAGGGAAGAGCTCGAAAAAGATGAAAAAGCTGGAACGTCCTACGAAAGGTAAATGTATCGAATGCCTCGATATTTAAAAAATAAAAATAAAAAAGACTTGTATATACATATATATATATATATATACATATATATATATATATATGTACCTAGTAAATGTAATGGAGTAAATATTTTCTTTTATACTATGTCTGTAATTGTGTCGAATAGTGAAACAAATAATCATATCATTTTCAATAATAAATGATTGCTACAGACATAGGTCCGATAGGTATGGAAGAGCCGAGTTAGACAAACGTACGGATAGAAGACGAGGAAGAGAGTCTCCAGAATTTGAACATAATAGAACAAAAGATAAGAAAGGAGAAGAAAGAAGCAGTTTAGTTCCTATACCAAGGATGACAAAATATGAACGTAGACAATTATTTGCTCTGAAAGTAGCTAAAGAAGAGGAGGAGAGGCAACGTCGTCAGCAACACGATTCTTGGCAAGAACACGAAGCAAGATGTTTAGCTTTGGGTATAGATCCCCATTCTACTGCTATGTTAGATCCACAAACTGGTTATCCGGTATTTTATAATCCAACGCTTGGCCAATGGCAGCATTATTCTGCCCAAGGTAATTTCAAGGAAAATAATGTTTTGCATTGCAAAATCCTTCTATAGATTCTTTCCATTTATATTGTTTCTTTTTATTAACTATTGATATTTTTATTCAGAAGGAGATATCGCACAGCAATGTACTTCTACGTGCGTAGGAGGAAATCAATCTCTATCCACTTCGAGTACTATAGTATCGCAAAATCCTCATGCGTTACAATCAACAATAACTTCTGAAATAACCACTGGTATAACTGGTACAACTGCCGTTCCCTCAAGTGTACCACCCGTAGTGTATTCCTTAAATCAAGCATCTGCTTTCAATCAGACGACAACTTCATATTCTTTAATTTCACACCATCAACAGTATTCGGAAGGTCACTTGTCGATCGCAAGCAACTTGGTACCTGTCCATGGTGTTTCGCAACCTATCTCCATTCAGTCACAATCTCTTTATGTTGACAAAACGACAAACTCTCAACAATTTCCTGTCAATGCCTCTACCGATACTATTTCCAATCAGGCGGAAATACCACCCATAGATTTGCCACCTAAATGGAAGAGTGCGATAGATGCTAGAGGCAGAAGGTACTACTATCATATAAAAGAAAGAGTGTCGCAATGGTTACCACCGCCACCAGACCACATAGGTGTCCAACCAGATTCGTCGTCTACTTCAGAATCCAGTGACGATTCAACGTCCTCTAACGAGGATGAAGAAGATCTTGATGATGAACAGATTGATAAGAAAGAAGAGGATGTATATTTAGATGCTGGTACCACAGAAAAACGTAATTCTACAAAAAAAGTTAATCCATTTAATACTCCAGTTGGTTCCAATATATTTCCTGAAACCAAAAAGCGAAGAGATGGTTTGGTACAAGAAAGGATCATTAGTGTAAATATTTTCTTCTTCTTCTTCCTTTTCCTGTTTCCTTAAAAAATCCTCAAAGGGGAATAATATTCCTCAAATATTATATTTAAATTGCAGCCAAGAAGAGAAGAGGATCGTATTGGTCATAAAACGTATAAGGAATTAAAAGAAAAATTACGAAGGCAGAAGGAAAGAGCAAGACTTAAAATGCATGTTGATAAACTTAGAAAACATAGACGTAGTAATAAATCGAAAGTTCATTCGAGACATTGGCTGAATAAACCACAATCAACATCGTCCGATTTCACTAGCAGCATGTCGGAAAGAAAGATTAAGGATACCTTCAGAATAAATATGGCCAATGTTATGGTACATTTCTTAAATCCATACAGAAAAAATGATTGTAAGCAAGGTCGGATAACTAATACGGAAGATTTTAAGCATCTTGCGAGAAAGGTAAAAATATCTTGAAGAATATTTTTTTCTTTCCTTAATTTCTTTATTAATAATTTCTTCATTAATTTCTCCTTTCAGTTAACGCATTTCGTACTTGCGAAAGAGCTGAAACATTGTAAAAGTGTGGACGAACTACAATGTAATGAAAATGTTAAACACAAAGCTAAAGATTTTGTGCGCAAATACATGAGTAAATTTGGCGCAGTATATCAGAAAGGCACAGATGAAGATTAATTGTTTGTATATGTACGAAATGAAATTGTTATTTATTATATGCCAACTCTATCCTGAACGTTATCAGTTCCTTATATATATATATAAAAATAATTTTCCTCTTTGTAGATATATCCGGAACTATATTACTACCGTAAAATAGCAAAAAATTGTATATGTGTGAAAAACTTTTCTATAAGTTAGTAGCTAATAAAATAGCAAATTATTAATTTCTCATATTAATATGTATAAATTTTACACACTTTCTCTCTTCTATGTCGTCTAAAATGCATGAATATTTTATTTTCAAGTTAACGTATTGTACGGTATGTTACTACATTTACATTTTATTTTCTGTGAAACTAAAATTTAGATCTGCTACTGCATTACTTAGGAGAATGGAAGGATCTGTTATTTTTTTTATAATTTACTGGAGTTTATCATTCCGTAAGGACTGAATCACTTGGAATAATGTGTGTGTGTGTGCGCGTGCGTGTGTCGTGTATATATACACACACACACGCACACACACACACCCACTATTATATGCATCATATAACAAAAATTGCAACGATTTTACAACAATTTTTTTTTCAACAATCAATAATTATTTATTCGAAAAACTAAACGAACATAATCAAAAGAGATTCAGTGTTCCTTATTATATGCCTTTGTCTCATAGATCTTCGTCTGTTGGTACAAAAATCAAATCTGTGATGCACACGGTACGCAAATGCAATAATAAAAAAAAAATAAATGCAGAGTATTTTAAATAAAGGTAATATTCTATGCGTAAATATTTGAAACATTATATTTCCATTGGATTTTTTTTTGTCGTAGTCGATTATACGATGTTATCTTAAATACTTTGTAACAATATATATAATGGATATATCATTTTTAAGATAGATAAATTTAGCACGTTTAAGAGAAGAAGTACTTTTTATTTTTCTTCTCAGTTTTAGAACTTTCGATCGTATAAAAAAGAAGAAAGATAATGTATATACATATACACATACACACTTGGTATCCCTTTATACTTTATATATCTATCTCCATCATTTTGCATGAGACATAATAAGAAAGAAAGAAAGAAAGAAAGAAAGAAATAATACGGAGGACGTGGATTTCTCACAGTTTATTTTTTATAATAATTTATGAAAAGAAAAAAAATAACTATTCCTCATGACCCCGACGTGATTTGAACACGCAACCTTCTGATCTGGAGTCAGACGCGCTACCGTTGCGCCACGGAGTCACATGTTGTTGAGGTTGCAATAATGTAGATAAGTTGGCAAAATCAAAATTAAAATTATAAATTAAAAAATTTATTTTTTTTATTAACGTTATTACAATTGTTATTGCTGCTAAAAAATAAGACAAAAAGTATACTACATATAATCTTTGTTTTTAAAAATCGATATTATTGATGTAAAAGTTATTAATTATATATTTGATAATTTATCGCATTCCAAATGCACATATCGCATCTATATCTGATTTGAAAATTAAAAAAAAATAAGAACAGAAGAAAAAAGAATACATTTGTTGAGATATTTATTATCTTTATAGGACAGAAAAAATGTTCATTATTGATAATCAACGATAAAATAATTACATAGAACGATTAACAGTGTAAACAAAATCTTGTATAAAAATTCTGTTCGGAGATAGCATATCTTTAAATATGTTTAGTATAAAAAAAATTATATATATGAATTTTTGTTAATCATATAGTAACTACATATCATAGTTATTAACAATATATTATTATTATTATTATATATTATTATTGATATTAGATAAAATAGTCTCTGTTATGAATGATTTAAGCGAAAAAAATTGTCAAAAACTTAAAATATTACAACGATTAATAATTTCCTTGTTATATCGATTCAATTTTAATGTTAATTGTTATTAAATCATTATTACACTCTTCTAATATTTTTTTCTTTCTTTTAGTTAGAGCAAAATAAAATAGTAAAGTTACGAATGCAAAGGATAAAGGAGTGGGAGAGTTTTCGACGATCGAGTATAAAACGACAGTACTTAAAACGACAGATTGTAGTCATTTATTGTTCTGTTAACTTGGAACGTGCTACCAGAGACGAGTATCAAACGAAGTCGACGTGAACATGGGGTCCGTACGCAATAAAAGGGTTTCGGTCTCCGAAATGATGAGAATACCCCCCATCAAACCTAAAGGTATTATATTAAATATAAAAAATAAATGTCAAACTATATTTATAATTATTAATTTTTTATTTAAACAAAAATCAATCAGTGATTTTCAAGTATTAAAAATATACCTATACATACGATAATAAGATATATATAATATTGTAATATAAATAAAATAATAATAATGCAACAGTAGTAAAGTAGAAATTAACAACAGTAAAGTAATAATTTTTTATAATATATTATAATATATTATTAAAATATTTTTTTTTACGCGCCGAGTTCATTACTTTTATGAGCCGATTTCTGCAATATATATTGTGTGTGTGTGCGTGTATATATATATATATATATATATATATATATATTATACATTATACATTATACATTATACATTATACATAATATGCATGAAGCATAATACTTAATACATTTATTGATTGACACATTTGATTCCATTATCAGTTCGACCTCAAAGTGTTTGTATAATCGCGTTTGAGATGTAACTTAAGATTAAGCTTCAGATAAGACGTTATTTATCAAATCTGTTAAATAAGATTAAATCGGTCCAATTCGGCCGGGGACCGTTCTTCTGATCTATAAAATTGTGCAATTCTTGTATAATCAATGAAATTTGCATCATATATGATTATTACCATATTTAATTGTCAATCGCTAATGTTTACACTATTAGAGTAAAATTACCAATACTAATCGAGGTTTTCTTTTTATCTATTTTACTTATTTATTTACATAGGTGTAACAATTTATATAAATTTTACAAATTGTACATCGCAATCCCTGCTATGTATAATATAGTATATATAAGCAGAACTAGAGAAAAAAAAGTACAGTAAACTAACTAATTAAAATTATTAAAATTAAAACTAACTTATAAATTATAATTTGTTATATACTTCATATAAAAGCATCACTAATTAAAATGATATTGGTTGCATAAATTATTATTATTATTATTAATATTATTATTATTATTATTATTATTACTTGTGATTTCAGAAAAAAACGTAAATATAAGTAGTTACATTAAAAAAATGTGTACACGCGATTATTTCCCTAAGTATTAAAAATCAACTCTTCGATGTTATCTCAAAGTCAATTATCACGACGACGTGTTTCTCTCTTGACACGAAACAACATTCGTCTGAAATACCTTATTGCGTTTTTAATTCTTAGGGAAATAATCACGTGTATATATTTAAACCGGACATACTGTACATTTCTAAAAGAGCACGTAGAATCGATTACGAGTAGTCCGCATTCTTTACATTTTTCGATAGCACAAGATAGAATGATTAATCGTTCGGTCATTACCAAGAATCTTTAAAAGCGATATTCGCAAAATTGCACATTTCATTTTCCTTATTAAAAAATTTGAATTACGAAGTTTTATATAAAACTTTTTAAAACAAATTTAATACCCTAATAAATAATGATGAACATTTTTCAGATACTTTATATACATAGAATAATATCTCATTAATTATATATTAAATTTTCTTTCTTTTTTATGATGTTAGAAACATTATTTATAAAATAAATTCATCATTATCATCATTATGTGCTATCAATGTGATATTACATAACAATATTGTCTAACATCTTATTAACGCAGGTATGCAAGTATTAGAAAAATCATCTAAGTTGTATAAAAGATTAAGGTCGTATTATAATTCGATAGATATGACGTTCGAATATTTCTTTGATTACAGCCCTCTTTGGATGTAGACACGTACAGGTACTATTCATGACCTTCGGTTTCTTGTCCTGTTATGCTGTCAGGGTTACCATGTCCGTGACCTTGGAGGCGATGACCAATTCTACCAAAGCTAATCCACAATTCGAAGTACGTAATTTTCTCTCTCTCTCTCTCTCTCTCTCTCCCTCGTTAATCTGCGTTCAAATCCTCTGTGATCAGAATCAATATTTTTGTTATTTTTTCAATGGGCAGGAATTTCATTGGGATCAGAGTACCAAGGACACCATACTGAGTTCATTCTTTTGGGGATACATATGTACTCAAATACTCGGTAACATCATTGCTCAACGTTGGGGAGCCCAAAAAGTTTTGTCTGGTGCTCTTGCTATCAACGGATTACTGACACTTTCAGTTCATTCTGCAGCCCATTATGGTGGTTGGGAATATGTTTGTGTTACCAGAATTATTGCTGGTTTTGCCCAAGGCACAGTCATGCCGACCTTACACACGCTCTTATCTAAATGGTCGCCGAGCGATGAAAGAGGTAGATTAGGTCAGTTTCAATGTTAAGTTATTTCATTTTCCCTCCCCTCCCCTCATTTATTTATAATAGTGGAATAATATAAAACTATTGTTAATAATTATATTTTAGCCACATTTGTTTATTCCGGTGGTTGGATTGGAAATGTCATTTCTCTTCTAAGTTCTGGATACCTTTCTGCTTCCGTTCTTGGCTGGCCAAGTTGCTTTTACTGTTGGGGTATTATAAGCTTAATAGCTGCTCTTTGCGTTATCATTTTTGTCAAAGAATCACCTGCTGATCATCCAAATATACCATTGGATGAAAAGGAATTCATCGAAGTTAGCTTAGGTGTTACCGAGACCGATCAGGTAACGATCAATTATTCGTAATTTGTTTTATTAATAAATGTTAAACACGATTATTTATTTTTTATTTACAGAAATTATCTACTCCTTGGGTAGCTATATTAACGTCTGTACCTGTTTGGGCTCTTCTTATTACACAATCGGTTCAAAATTGGGGATTTTGGATGCTCTTAACTAAAATGCCTTCTTATATGAATTCTGCTCTTGGTTATGACATACAACAGGCAAGTTTTAATATAAATTTTAAATACCAAATGGACTTTTTAATTGCATGGATTAAATTGAGATAAATTAAAAAATTTGAATTAAATCTTTAATTGCCCAAATAAATGCTTTTTGTAACTGAGCAATATATGGCCATGACAATCTATTTATACACGATTATACGAGAAGAATATTAATTAAAATCATTGTAATATCTTAACCGCTTGAAAAAAAAAACGCAAATAACGAATTCAATTAATATGCGAGACAGTATTATTCGATTATGATTCAATGCCGATATATACCAGTAACGTCTTATAGGCGCTACGTTAACCGAATGCAACTACCTCCATTAGTGAATTCTTAGATTTGCGGTTACTGTCGGTCAAGATCAATTACAATACAGTTTAAGAATATCAATTAGTTTGCTTGTAGAATCATTTATCGACCGTAATGTGATACCAAACGGATAAAAAACATTTGTTTGATTCTTTTCAGAATGGAACAATGTCAGCATTACCATACTTGACAGCATGGATTCTTAGTTTTCCATTCAGTTATTTTTCTGATCTTTGTATCAGAAAGAAGATTATTACCTTAGAGGTTTCCAGAAAAATATGTAATACTATAGGACAATGGATTCCAGCCATTGCTCTTATTTGTTTGGGTTACATTAACAAGGAACAACCTGAACTTGCTGTTGCAATTTTAATTATTGCAGTAGCTTCGAATATCGCTGCATATTGTGGCCATAATGTTAATCATATGGATCTCAGCCCTAATTTTGCAGGTGCTCTAATGGGTTTTACCAATACCGCTGCAAATATCTGTGCTATCTTAGCTCCTTTAATATGTAGCGTGATCGTTCCAGATCCGGTTAGTAATACATATTTATCTTTATCATTTATTCTATTCCATTTTATTTATAATATTTCTTTTCATTTGATTCACAGTCAAATATTCTTCAATGGAGAAGTATATTTTTCCTCTCTGCTGGTCTTTATATAATAGGAAATCTTATTTTCGTTTTGTTCGGTAAAGGTAAAGTACAAATGTGGAACGACCCAGTAAAAAAGCAAAAACAAACTACGATGTATCAGATAGGAGAAATAATGGAAGTTGATAATTCTGAAATACAAAAAACAAATGATCCAAAGATTCCATGACAAGCATATTATTATTTTATAGAATAAAATGGCTTTATTGTAAAATATTTCTAATGTAGAAAAGTAGAATGTAAGTATATTTAAAACATATTTAATATTTATTAAAGTTTTTTTTCTTAAAAGATATATTTATATATATTCTTTCACAATTTTCCACCTTATAAGAGTGTGAAAATAAATTAATTTTTCTTTAAATGTTCTTTAGATATGGTCTTCCATATTGTTCCCATTAAAAACACAGTTCCTATAATAGTTGTCAGTAATGTAATGCAAGTGACGCAAGACAAATAGGATGTATTTCCTATGGGTATTGTCCATATGTAATCTATCTCGTCCTATTAACACAGACAAAATAAATTTATAATTAATAAAGGACCTTAAAATTTGTCCTTTTCGGATTAATTAATATCTTACAATATCATATGGTATTTCTCTCCATTTTGTCATCATACTGGCACATGATGGACATATATCTATTTTAGATACTCTATACTCTTTAATTCTTTGCTTGCAACCTATAAGTAAAACAGGTTTTTTTAAAACAATATTTTCATAATCACCATTCTCTTTAGGATACTGGTATCGTTGATGAATTGGTAAAGATGCGATACATATGCCATTATTTATAAGGCTACAAAGAGTAATATTCTGAGAATTTGCATTCTCCATGAATAATTCCACATTTTTCTCTCCCACAGAGCATATGTTAATCTAAAAGTTTAATAAGTAAAATGTAAATTATATTAGAACGTTGATAAAAAATATAAAGAGCATAATTAATTACCTTATCGGCCCTTCTTAGATCTGCTAACTCATTAATGTTTACGTAAAGTGCCGAAGGGAGTACAAAATGCAATGATATATAACAATTGTTCGTAGTAAAATTATTTAGTTTGATGTGATATGTAAAGTTTCTGTAAATAGAATCAGATGAAGATAAAGATCGAAGGAAGATATTTACTTTTTCCATTTTCTAACCTATGAAAACCAGAACCATCAACGTGCAACTGTACACGAGCACTTATTTCTCCAGACACTGAAACAAATTGAAATATAAAAATATAAACGAAAATTCTTAAACGATACCACATAATAGAAAATATTTTCTATTCCTAATATTTAATTCCAGATGTTCCTATATAAAATCAAACTTGATAACAAATACATTATATATCTCCGATATACATTCAATCTGTAAGATCATAGATGGCATCAAAGAGATAGCATCAAATTTAAAAATGAAATTGTGCAAGAAGAAACAGATAAAATATTATATTTTGCTTTTTATTAAATTTATTCTAATTACCAGGCATAATTAGATGATATGGAATGCATTATATATACAAATTATTTACCGGGAATTTATTATAAACATGATTATTATATAAATATTATTCAAAATTTTAAGAATAATGTAAAGTATAAAAGTAAATAACAATAAAAAACGCAATACTACATAAATAATATATATTATTTATCCTTATTGATGATCTTCCCCTGTGGGTCGGGGATAGAATACACCCACAGTATCCCCTGCTTGTCGTAAAAGGCGACTAATAGGGGTTGAGTGTTGGGCTGCTGTCAAGCGAATCTCGTAAAAATCCACTCGTTACGGAAACTTTAGAAAGAAAAGCCGGACTGCTGATAATAAAAATAAACAGATGAAAATAGAAAGCTCATGATGAGAAAATATTAATTTAAAGGAGAATACAAAAGGAATAAAATATCGAATAAAATGAAATGAAAACGAAAAAAAATATTCATCCGTTTATTATAAGTAATGCAATGAATGATGTCATAAAAGTGTAGTCGTAAGTAGACTGCATAATGTGCATAATCCATTCGTAATGTAGAGAAAAAATATAGAATGAAAATAAACTGGGATAAAAAGAGTAAGAAGAGAAACTGGGATAAATGAGAGAGAACGAAGAAATAAGAATGAAAGAGAGAGAGAGAGAGAGAGAGAGAGAGAGAGAGAGAGAGAGAGAGAGAGAGAGAGAGAGAGAGAGAGAGAGAGAGAACGAACTGGTTGAAGCCTCAACGTAGAGCTTCTATATTGCCGCCAGGAAACAAAAATAGCTGCTGTCAGATCCCCAGAAGGGAGTACAGAAAAGAGGTGTAGGTAAGGCAAAAGAAAGACAAAATAAGGTACAAGATGTGACAAGGTAGAAAGATAAAATACACAGGTGCAACAAGAATGAATAGAGTGATATGGAATAAGGGTAGTATCTGCTAAGACTTTTGCAATAATATTATGCCAATCACCTATATAATACCTATGTCTTATGTAATATTTAAACATAAATTGTAGGACATAGATATTTTTTCATGAATTTGTATTTTACAAAAACAATGTTCTTCTTTTAGATTACAATACATTAATTCATGATTTATTATGATTTAATCGATTTTTGGGCTAAACTAGATATAGATCATGTTTTCAGGTAATATTCATTAGGATTAATTTGTTTTGTTTTTTCGGTTAATGTTGAAGTTTATTGGATATTTATTAGAGAAAAAAAATTATAATCTTTTATAATGAGCTCTATGTTATAGGTATCTGAAAAAGAGACGGAAAGAAAGAAAAAGAAGAGAGAGAGAGAGAGAGAGAGAGAGAGAGAGAGAGAGAGAGAGAGAGAGTTTTACATCCGCGATCCTAAACTTCTTTGTAGGATTTCTAGTCGTGCCAAGTCTGCTTGCCCAGGCATTCTTTGGCTCGGTTAAGAATTCCCATTATTATTGCCGGTGTACAGAGATCTTTGTAAAAAAACAATTTTCTATGGAATTTTCATGTAATTAATATATTGATTATAACGTAAAATAAGATAAGAGTTAAGAGGCGAAGCTTTCGAAAGATACGATTAGAGAGATAAAATCAATTAAATTATTTTTAATCTTATAAGAGATAGTAACAATTTTTAATCGATTTAAAATTTTATATTATTATTATTATTTAGTTATTTTGTTAATTATTTGAAGTTATTATTAGGTCATCATATTTTTTTATGTTTAATATTTAAAAAAAATGATAATATTTATTATATGAAATTATTATAGAGAAATAATTTAGATTATGCCGATCTAATTTATTATGCAATTCCCCATTATAAAGTCATAATTAGAAAATAGTTTATAATCTGTATTATTTGTATTAGGATCCATATAAAGTATTTATTATTATAATGTCGCAATACAATAATAGGTCATATAAATACATTAGCCATACAAAACAAAATAACTGGAAAGAGTTCGTCTGTATGTAACTAATAATTGCGTCTCAACAAATATCGTTTCTAATCCGATACTTGAACATATAAAAGATAAATTGGAGTAATAAATTATTATAAATTATTTATAAATATTATATGAGACAATAGAGAAAGAAATATAGGTAGACAATAAGGGACGTTTCCATATTACGGTATCTCGTTCGTAATCGTCGGAGAGCGCCAAATTCGAATCGAACGGGGATGACTCAAGCCTCAAGGCTCTGTTCAGTCCACCTCGTCGGCTTCGTTCGGCCGACGTTGGCCCGGTTTATCTCCGGCTGATCCAGAAATAATCTTAGATTCGGTCTCTCCTACTCTTACTCCTGTGATCTCCATCGTTCGAAAGCTTCGAAACTCTTTTTCATTTGCTGTGCTTAGCTTTTCCCTTACCATCAGCATCTCTCTTTCTCTCTCTTTCTTTCCACATTAAGTTCCATATGAATATCATATATACAAATATTTTTCTTATATCGACATTGTTTTATTAGAAAATTTATATATGAAATTTGTCCAAACGAACATATTTAATAATTAATTAATTAATTAATTAATTTTTAATTTGTGTTACATTTTACTATACATGTATTTCCACGTTTCTAATCTCTTTTTCATTGTCTTTGTTATTTTGAAATTGTGCGCGTGTATTTGTTGATTCAATCATTTTAGTTTTCGTTCATTTTCCCCTAATATTTTTCTCTTAAATCTTTACGTGTATATGTATATATTTACAAATCCATCGAGAAGTTTCGCGTGTTTGATCGAGCGTCGTTGTCTTGAGAGTCTCGCAATAAACATTGGTATGGCATCCGCCCGCGTCAGAATCTTAATTTACCGACGGTGTTGCGCAACCGATCTATTTCCGCGCATTCCTAATCGCGCGACCAACTCCAATAGTTATCGTTTTTCCCTATCGTATCGACGATATCCATTTAATGCTTTCATTGATTTTTATCGGTGCTTTTTCTCTCTTTTTCTCTCTTTCTCTTTATAAAGTATAATCTTAGCAAATATAATGTAGATTATTAATTGTATTAAGAAAACGTACATTAATTTCGTTCTAATCAGTTTTAAAAAATCTTTTTCTATTTCTTTTGTTAGAAAAGAAAATGGAATAATTTTTTTTATAAACAAGAGATGACTTTTTTTTAGTTTAGATCACTAAGATTAACATTTTAACAACGTCGTGAATGCATACATATGTTTCGTGAATCATAAATGACGTTTAGATAAATGACATGGTTAAATTCTTCTTTGTTTAACGATCCATCGTAAAATTAATCCTCAAATATATATATAGATCACTTGTGTTACTTATAAAATAAAGATCTACATTAATTGTTGTTAATAGTTCGGATCTCGAAACAAGAGAGTACCATTTAAAGATGAAATAAAAATTATATTTTCTATGATATTTGAATTATTAGAAATACAAGAATCAACAGATAACTCGTTGAAAGATATCGCTAATTTAGCCTGCATATAAAGTTGAGATTAATTTATTATTCGATTTTCATCTAAACACATGTTTGGCACACTATTCGTTTTATTATATAGCCTTTAGATTGGACGATTAGCGTTTATTAGTCACGTTTTAGTTTTACTGAAAAATGATGCCAAAGTTTCACGTATTTTTTCCTATCTAATGCATTTTATAATAAAACTTATATAAAATTAATTGATTATAGATGTTATAGATGAATCGCCAATGATTGATCTCTTAGATCGATTATTCGATCAATTATTCGATTATTATATGCAGTAATCGTGGTTCCTTCCGCATTAGATCATTCTGCCAAATTGACAGAACTGGATAACATCCAATTTCATAGAAATACCGAAGGAAATGATGTTGCTATATCGACTTGTGATTTTCGAGATCATTGAAATCCTTCTTCGACTCGGTTATATTAATGAAATTTCAAGGACATCTTCGAAATTCGTAATATAACTTTATGAACTTCTTTCTCTTCCACTGGCTCTTATAAACTTAAACAAAGATGTTAATCTTTCTGATTATGTGTATTAATTAATTGTTGCTAGGGTTTTTTGTTTTGTTTATTTAATTAGATATAGCTAAAAATTTATCAGTAACTTCTACGTGTTGGTCACGTGACGATCAAAACAATGAGGCTATATTTTTAACTAATTTTATTATCACAACTTTGAATGTCTATTATATATAACATTTATTATAAGTTTTATTTCACATTGCAAACGTTCTACCAAACAAGTGATCCTACACGCGTAAAATTCATAATTTTTATTTTATAACATGAGCAATATATGTGGTATATGCAACGAAATTTATTGCAACGATTTATTGTGTCATTTAAAATCCGGTAAATATTTAATGGTTCGAGCATTTTAACGTTAGCAAATATGATCTCACCTTAAAAATAAAACTATTTATATATGTATATATATATATATATATATATGTACATTAAAAAAGGAATAATAATAATTATGATAATAACAATAATAATAATCAAAGAAAAATGGAGTCAACCATAAAACCACATTTACTATAATAAATAATGCATCGAAATTAAATGGGAATAATTAAAAGTGAATCAATTCAATATAATATAGATGATAAATCAATAAGGAAAGAAGGAGAAACAAAAATAAAAAAAAAAATAAAATATAATAAAATGCAGTAAACCGAAAATCAAGAAAATCAAAGACGAATCATTAAGAATCTATAAAAGATATCCGAAGAAACATAAAAATGATCGATCGATTTCTCTTTCATAAGAAGAGAAGGTGCAACTATTTCGCAGCTGTTATCGTCGATCTATCGTGTATGACCACGTGCATCTTCCACGTGGACCGTACAGGAGTACACGTTGCTGCTGCAATGGATCGTGTCTTGGGTATTCGAGGAGACTACCACCACCTGACAAGTAACCAACTACTCTCCCACACTCTTGTTCGGATCTTATTCGCGTCCTTCCGACATGCACCTCGATGGAATGGCGCTAGACTGGTCCATGAGCATCGTCTTAAGGGAGTTTCGATCTTCTTAGCTGCAATAGAAAGACTAAGAGGTAGACTGAAGAGGTAGAGGAATAAGCAAGTGCGAGCGAGCGAGAGAACGAGAAAAGAGAGAGAGAGAACGAGCATGGAACCTTCCCCCTTGGAAATGATTCTCATAGGCATAACAGTCTATCACACTCCAACATACTATCTATTTTCATCTCACTCAAGTCGAGCCGAGCACGGACGTACAACTCTGCGCTCGTAGTACCTTTCCGCCACCACCCCCTTGTCACACTTTCGCTATCATCTCCACCTAAAAAGGTAGATTGGCCCAGGAACTAACGCGCTTTTTCATTGGCCCATATCGTCTACCAATCGTAAGCCTCGTTACAGCTTAGGATCACGTTGCACGCGCTTATATTGGGAGCCCCCGCTCGTTTCCCCGACAGAACGGCTCTCTAACGTAAGTGAATCACGTCGATTGTTCTCTTTGCCGGAAAAATATATATACATTTTTTTTTCTTCTTCTTTTTCTTTTTCTTTTTCTTTTATTTGCTTTTCAAAAGAGTGTCAGATTATTTTTCTTATTCTCGCAAAGTTTTCGAATTGTGAAAAAGTATTCTAGTTTTGTTCGTAGATTTTTCAAAAAAGATACAGAGAAAGATTGAAAGGGAAAAAATGAGAAAGAGAGAGAGAGAGAGAGAGAGAGAGAGAGAAAGAGAGAAATATTGAAATGATTTTTCGAAACAATGTATTAGTAAGTACATACATGCTATGAGATTAGATTTTCATCATCGAATTCTCATATTTACATTCGAAGACGTTGTTAACGTTCCGTCATCTCTAAAGAAAAGAAAAGGAGAAAAAAAAGAAAAGAAAAAAAATTCTCTACTCGAGAAAAAGATTCATCGCAATCCAGAAACACGGAGACGCTGAAAACTTGGATCAATCAACCAATTGGGAATATCTCCATCTTTTTGAAGTTTCAATTGCGCGAGAGAGATTATAAAAAGCCTGAAAGGAAAAGTGCGAATTACTACTTTTGTTTAACCACAAAAGGGATTTTTTTTATAGTGGACAAAAATCTTAAAGGTGTTTTATAAAGGAAGACGATCAATTTTACCGATCAATTGTGTGCTAATTGGATTCAGAGATTTCATCTGTTTCCGATAATCGAATTCTATCTTTTGTGTGTGCTCTTTTTAAATATGTATATGTATACATATACACATATATTTTTTACATATATATACATATATATATATTTATATATATATGAAAGATCGAGAAACATTTTTTACGAAGATCGAAAAACACAGTGAAATGGGTTCGGTGCGACGACGACACTTGTGAAATTGTATTCAAACGAAGGACTGACTTTTGTTAATGTTTCTACGGATAATTTAATCATTTAAACATTTATTTATTTATATTTTTTTCTTTAATAATAGCTTTGGTGCTTTTGCAAATTTTTTAACGAGCGAAATATCGCTTCAAAATTTCTAATAGAATATCTAAAATCTAATTCTCTCTCTTTCTCTCTCACGATGATACGAATAATGTCGGACTTATGGTTGTGATATTCTACTTAAAGGAGAATACACCCTAAAAAAATAAGTAATACATCGACGAATTAGGCATTTAATTAATTAGTGAAAATATTCGATTATCAAGGAGGAAAATTAAATTTAAATAATTAATTATTTTGTTTTTTGTTCGTCGAAGAAAAGAAACTTTGTCGGTTGCGCCGCCGTTTTGATGAAAATCGCGCGGCAAAACATTATTGCCCGAGATAGCACGTGATGTATTTCCTTTTTTTCTTTATTCTTTCGAAATCTTTCTCTTGTATTGCAAAATACATATGTATTATACGACTACATATATCTATGTATATATATATATATGTATATGTTTTTTTTGAGCGTGATTTTTATTTATTCGTTTATCAACGCAATGGCGTGTTTTTAATCCGTGACTTGGTTCATCGGTATTTCGTTTTGAAAAGGCGGAGTTATTTTTGACTTATTCTACTAGCTTCCTGTTAAAACATGCGTCGATATACATATGCACGTAATGCATATGTGATATTATGATGGTATATTTTCAAAGTGATTTCGAACGAATAAAAGTAGAAATGTATGACGAAAAGACATTCTCTCTTTCTCTCTCTCTCTCTCTCTCTCCATTTTATTTTTGTTTTTATAGCCTGAACGAATCATATCGACGAATGTTATTGTTTCATATACGATCTTTGTTTATTATTTAGGGCCGCCCAGATCGTGCCGCCAGAAGTAGTCCGTCCGTCGCCGAATTCAGCGAGGAACGAAGAGAACGAAGAAAGAAAAAAAAAATCAAGCGAGCAGGCCTCCCTCTCCCTCTTATTATAGTGGGGAAACGACGAAAAGTGTGAAAGGATAAAGAATAGAAAGACGAATATATCTTTCTCGAGTTTCGAAGTAATCGAGTAATCGAGAAGTAGCGACACCAAAGTTATCCAACATGCCAAAGCCAAAGCCTCAGGAGGGAGAAGATCCTGATCCAACTCCCTATCTCTTTGTTTCTCTCGAACAAAAGAGAATCGATCAGACCAAACCTTATGATGCTAAAAAGGCGTGCTGGGTACCCGACGAAAAGGAGGGTTATCTTCTTGGTGAAATCAAAGCTACCAAGGGTGATATTGTTTCCGTCGGATTACCAGGCGGCGAGGTTTGCATTTTTTCTTTTCTTTTAATTATTTATTCCTTTAGGATTACTCATATCTCAATTTTCTTGGTAAACCCAATATATATCACGTTTCTAGATAATTGATACGATTTTCTCACATCACAGATGTTATTATTACATGCTTCCAATCGGTCATTTAGATCATCTAAATATACTTATATATAAAAAAGTGCAAAGTTACTTTATTTATTTATTTATTCATTCTTTTTCAATTGTTATTATGAATCTTTAATTGGTTGAAAATGTAATTAATCCAATGGATATATCTGAAAGAAATTGAGAATGGGTAAAGGAAATGTAGGTACATACACGAGATGATACTTTAAGAGATACATAAGGATATAAGCTTGTGTATATACGTATGTATGTATGTATGTACCTACATGTACAGGGAAGGCAAACATGCCGGAGCTTTGCCGTATCAAGCTACTCCGTCTCTATTTTTGGAGAGAACAGAAATCGCTCGAAGCTTTTACGACCTTCTATCGTCGAACGCGCCAAGATATCCGGCGCTCTCTCTCTCTCTCTCTCTCTCTCTCTCTCTCTCTCTCTCTCTTTCTACGTTCTCTTTCTATCAACGAAAATAAATTGACGAGAGAAAATGAATTCTTCTTCTAAGAAAAAGAAAAAGAAACGATACATAAAAACAGAAACAATAGAGATAATTTAATCTCGCATAATTAAAAAAAAAAAAAGAAAAAAATAGAAGAAACCGTGCAGATATCTGTTTCTACTTTTTTATTATTAAAAAGAAGAGAAAAAAATCATCTGGTAGTTGCGAAACAGATTCAGATTAGAAACAATAAATATTTGATTCTAACTTTGACTTGACAATTTTTATCAATAAATAAATGAATAAATAAATAAATTCTATGCTGCGCCTAACACAAAGAAAAAAATGGAGAAAAGAAATAGATGGAGGGAAACGGAAGAAGTATGGTGTTACATAATGGTTCAGCAAACCCTGGCCCGTCGACACCTAAACGCTATTGTTAGCATAGCCAGCGACGATGGTAATAATAAATTGAAACGCCACTTCTCGAAACGCAGGTCAATATATTTTTAGAGCACTGTCAAAAGCTAGCTAGCAGCTAGCTAGCTAGCTAGCCAGAGACAGACGGATAGAAAGAGAAAGAGATATGCTTTGCCGGATATATGGTCTCGCTTTTACGCAACGTGATCGAAAAGGGAGAGAGGAAAAAAGGAAGAAAAAAAAAATATATATATATATATATATATATATATCATTATTTTTCTTCTCTTTCTACTGTAGCTTCGTGATCGACTACATTTATTTTAGTATCGACATTTCGAAGCTAAATGAGACTATGTGTTATCTTTATCGTACCACCGACAGTAGTTTGCCAAAACAATTGCAATCAATTACAAGTTTTGTTGAAACTCTAAGTTCTGTTATATTTGAAGTATACGTTGCGTATTAGCACGTACACAATATTAAATATTACAAAATTATTCGGAGAAAAATGATAAAAAGAAAAAAAAAAATTAAAACTGAAATAACAGGAACACTTTAGTTGGTAGAGTAATTATTGAGAAATCAAATTTTCTTACTTCTTGATGTTCCCGTTGTGTGTATATATATATATATATACAAGGTTTACACGAAGGCTATGCATGTAAACCCTGTATATGTTAACGATAAGAAAAGAAATGAAGAAAAAAAGATAAAATCCAAGATGTTTATTTACTAACGATGAATATGAGTACGAATTACCATAAAACACGGGCGCCCACACAGACGAAACAGTTCCGCAAAGACCAGCTGTCCCAAGTGAACCCACCAAAATTTGAAAAATCCGAAGATATGGCAGATCTGACCTTCCTGAACGAGGCTTCCGTATTGCACAATCTGAAGCAACGTTATTACCACAAACTAATTTACGTAAGTCACAGTTTCATTATCATCAATATTAACCGGGTTTTTTTCTTTTCTTTTCTCTTGCCCTCTCCCCCTTCTTCTCTCGCTCTCTTCTTCCGTGTCTCTTTGGGGGACTATGATGACAGACAAAGGACTTCAAGAAGGATCTACTGCAACAAGTGAACCCGCCAAAATACGAGAAATGCGAGGACATGTCTAATCTGACCTACCTCAATGATGCTTCAGTACTGCACAACTTAAAACAACGTTACTACGCCCAACTCATCTACGTAAGACTTCAGACCTGAAGGAGAACGATAGACTCCGCTTATCTGTGGAGTGAAACCTTGTCGTTTACATCTTTGGCTTCCTGATTTTCTCTAAAAAAAAAAAAAGATCAATGGATGATCAAAAATAAAAAAAAAGAAAGAAATATCGAGTTAATGAGAATTATATAGTCGAGAAAAATATCTTAAGATATTTTTCTTTCTTCTAATAACATTCTCAGCTCGATTATCTAACCAAATATTGTCTTCTTAATATTCTCTTTATCTGGGAATTGTTTGTAATAAAAAAAAAAAAAAAAAAAAAAAATACAACAAAACGTCGTTACAAAGCACTACAACGTGCCACATGACGTTTAACGATTCAAGAAGAATCGCTTTTTCATACATTGGTAAACGACT